AGAGAGGGAGACACAGAATCGGAAACAGGCTCCAGGCTCTGAGCCATCAGCCCAGAGCCTGATGCGGGGCTCGAACTCATGGACCGCGAGATCGTGACCTGGCTGAAGTCGGACGCTTAACCGACTGCGCCACCCAGGCGCCCCCTTATCTGAGTTTTAAGGTCCTCAATGGTGGTGTAGTATTTGCTATAGTCTTGAGGTTGACCATTAATGTTCTTTTTTCCAAAATTCTCATACCATGTTTTTATTTTTGATTCAAGGTCAGCGTTGGTGTTTTCCGGGTGATGCACCTTGTCAAGGTAGGAGACCATGCCGTGGTTTAAATTCCACACGTTTTCCCTTGTGTTACTTGAGAGAAGGCCACCATCATCAGAGCTACCAGCATTTTACATGGCTCCCATTGGGTCCGGCACTCATGGTACTCTACCCTGTTCCAGCACCCAGCCTCCCAACCCCAACACCAGAAAGTACACCAGAAGGCCCCCTAACTCTCTGAGCCCCCTACAATGCCATAGCTTCCCCTGAGGCCTTAACAGACCCATAGCCACTGTGACTATGCTGTCAGAGCCCAGAGGAATAAGCCATTGTGTGCAAATGTAACAAGTCTGAGGTCAAAGTATAGCCTCAGTCAGTGCACTGTGGAGACCATCGTAGAGCTTTATGTTATGTAACACTATCACATTACATCATCTTTTATGAGCAGTTTTTAAAAAATATATAGTTTTTTGGGCGGTCAGCTTAATCTCTCTACCCCTTAGTTAAAAGTTTTTTTTAATGTTTATTTACTTATTTTTGAGAGACAGAGACAGAGTGTGAGTGGGGGAGGGGCAGAGAGAGAGGGAGACGCAGAATCTGAAGCAGGCTCCAGGCTCTGAGCTGTCAGCACAGAGCCCGACACAGGGCTCGAACTCCTGAACCGTGAGATCATGACCTGAGCCGAAGTTGGACGCTTACTAACCAACAGCCACCCAGGCGCCCCTCTACTCCTTAATCTAGAGATTGATGGGCCATATAGGTGCAAGTGGTGCCTCCCAGGGAGTTGGCTACATACGACAGGAAACTATGTGAGGGTGGGAAAAATAGATCATTTCATGACCCTGCGTTTTGAACCGTGATGAATGGTCATTTTTTATTGAAACTCTGCAGGCATGCATCTCGCAGAAAAATCTTTGTTTCCCTCTGACCCTATATTTTCTATCATTCCCATGCTCTTGAGCCTAGCTCAGGTTTCTCTCTTTTTGGTGTAGCTTTGCAAGCCAACAACCAGTCTCTTTCCAGGGAGTCTGTGTGGAGTAGTGTATATGCTTTGGAGTCAGACAGATGGGTGTTTGAGTCCTGGTTCACTGTTTTCCAGCCTGGATAAAAGTTACTTATTTTCTTTGAGTCTCAGTTTCCTCATCTGTACACCTTCCAGAAGATGTTGGGAAAGCAAATGAGAAACAAGTATTAGTGCCTGGTACACAGTAGTCACTCAATAAATGCTCGTTCTCTCCCTTACCCTCTTCTTCCCCCTGCTCCCTCACTTTAGTCCAGAGTGGTCTTTAAAACTCATAACCATACTTCTGTCACACATTCACTTAAGGCATACTGACTGAATGCTCAAGTATGTGCCAGGGATGCTCATGGGACAGTTATGGGCCTTAGGTTTTCGACAGATATCATGCATGCCTCTGGACCTGAGTTCCTCCTAAGTCCAGCTTCTGAGCATGCATTGATTTTGGATACCCACACACATCTCAGACTGCTTATGGGTGCCTTTGTACCCAACTGTGGAGTTGTTGGTGTTCGTCATTGGCGTCTTTACTCTCTTCCTTCTTCACCCTTCTCTGGGTTGAAATCTCTCTGCCCTTCATCGGAATCCATGGGCTTTCTCGTGTTTTAACTCCCTTTTCCAAGGAAGAGATACGATAGTGTTCATTTACAAAAAGAGAAATAGAGCACCCTATTTACCATGCTGTTCCAGGTGCTCTAGCATATGCATTCTGAACTTGTTCTTCAATTGTGAAGTGAGAGATTGTTTCCCGTGATAGGAATTGCAGTTCTTGGTAAGGAGAAGAGAGGTTATTTTGGGCAGAAATCTGTTGAAAGCAGTTTCACACTTAAAAGGGCAGCCTTGAAACAAACATGTGATTTAATCTGTCAGAATGTGTGTGTGTGGAGTGTGTGTGTGTGGGGGGGGGTAGCCTGAAGAGAAGGCACAAACTTTCTTAGTTCTTACTCTATGCACAGAACTCTCCCTGCTTCCATGCCCATTTCTCAGAGTTCTGCTCCCATAGTCTGCTCTGAATTTCTGGAAGTCACCTCTCCTTCAGACTTTCTTGCTGGCACTTCTTTTCGTATCTCCTGGTCTGTCCTCAGCATCCCAAATGTCTGCACGTGGCAGCTCTGTGCCACCCCACTCCCTTGTGCCATGATCTCCACCTCATCGCACCCCATCTCCAGAGTGCATGGGGATTGTTCGGCCTTCTCCGTGTCAGCGTCTCAGACCCCGAGGGCCCATGATTTTGTTACACTTACGTGCACAGAATGGAGGGGGTGGAAATGCACAGAAAGACAGAAGAATCTCAGCCTTCATCAGGGTGTCCAGAGTGGAACTGATTACTGGGAAGTTAGATTGAAGACAATTGCCTTTTTTTTTTTTTTTTTTTTAGGACAATTGTCTCTTTAATGTTAGTATATATATTTCTGTAGTGGAGAGGGAGAGTTAACACTTATGCATATCAGGAAAACTGTCAACTGAAACACTACTGTAGCTACTTGAGAACTAATAAAATGGGAAAAGTGAACCTAGAAATTGTCTGTGTATATGTGGTAGTGATAATTGAATTTAGCAAACGTGTACCGAGTGCCGACCCTACAAAGCCATTTGCCCCTCCAGATCCACTTGCCATCTTTCTCCTCCTGCTCTCCTGCTCCAGAAGGATTGCTGCCCCCTGGCTTTCATTAGTTGGCGTAGTGGGGACCCAATCAGTAAATGGGGGGAAGAGAGGGAGGAGAATGAGTTTGAGGTATTTATTCCCCTGGCCTCTACTGGTTGGGTGTGGCCTTTCATAAAAAGCTACGACTCCTTTCAAGGGGACCCTCTTTATAGGACTTTCTCTTTCTGAGTCACTTTCCTTTTTCTCTTTGGGTATGGGAGTAACCATAGCTACTGGTTTCTGTACGCTGTGTCCACACTTCTGCAAATAGTCCTTGTATTAGCTTCTCCTCAGTTTTTCCCAATTCGCGTGTTCCAGCTCTTTCCTGCTCAGATTCTACTGATTGGTAAGGCTTATATAAAGTCCTTACCCTCCAGGAGGTTAATGGGAAAGTGAATAATTGCAATACCATGAAATACATGCTTATCAAAGTATAGGCTCTTTGAAGGTAGAGACCATACATTATTCATGTTTCTTTCTTGACACTTAGCATAATGCTAGGTGGAGAGCAGAGCTTACTGGTATGCAGTGGGAGATGTATGCACACAGTGTGGGGAGTGGGGGATGGAGTTAGCATCTGTGCAGGAGGATCCAGGTGGGGTTCACAGTGTAGGCAGGCATGGCCATCAGAAACAGACTGGTCACATTAAGCGGGGGAATTCAATGCAAGAGTGTCAAGGGCTTCTAGAATCAAAGTAAACCGGGGTGCCTGGGTGGCTCAGTCCGTTAAGCCTCTGACTCTTGATTTCAGCTCAGGTTCTAATCTCACAGTTTGTGAGTTCAAGCCCTGCGCTAGGCTCTCTGCTGACGTGGAGCAGAGCCTGCTTGGGATTCTCTCTCTGCCCCTCCCCTGCTCACTGTTTCTCTCTCTCTCTCTCTCTTTCTCTCTTTCTCTCACAAGATAAATAAAAAAAAAAATTACTGTAGAATCAAAGGAAAACAGGAACAGAGCTTGGAAGATAGGAACCGGGGTGCTTTGGAGGGCTAGTTTACAGAGGTCCCCACAAAAGTCACATTCAGTATGAGTGGGGCATCCTCACAGACAGCTCTTGGCTTTTAGTTTCTTTAAGGTCTGTTGATCCAGGTTTCACAGGACTGAAAACATTCCTGGATACACATTATGTTTGTTCTGTGGAAGCACTCTGGCTTCTTTCTTCCAGTCTTCCTCTTAGAAACCCTGCTTGATGCCCCAAGCAAGGTAGGAAGAAAGAGAAGTTCTCAGATAACAGAAGATGTTTTGGGACTGCAGAAACCGGCTCACCCCTGTCTTCCTCGCCTCCTCGCTAGATGAAAGGCAGGATAATGGGGGCAGTAGGTGGGAACAATACTTGGGTGAGTTGCAAGGGTTAGCAGGAGTGAAGTAACAATGGAAGGTGAGTTCTTCTCCTGAAAAGCCAAGCCTGCCTCAGAGGTGGGGCTGCTTTTGCTGAGTGTGAGAGAGGGTGTTTCCCCCATCTCTGGGGAGGACCAGAAGAACAAGTCCCTACCAAAGTTCCCATCACTGAATTTGGATCTCGGTTTTGCTGCCCACTTCCTCCCGGCAGCCGTCCCCCTCCAGCTGCTGTGTGTCCGCGCTCCCTAGCATGGTAGAGCCACACCCCAGCTTCCTTGGCCCTCCCTTGACGTGCCCCATTCCCCTGTTTTGGCCTCCTTTGCTTCGAGACTTTCAACCCTGCTGTGGGAATAGGTACCAGTCGGATAACCATCTGGTTAGTCTCATTCATCTAAGGTGTGACTTACTGACAAAGGTGGGTAGGAGTGGAGAGGCGTTCACCAAAACTATTTACATTAAAAAAATGTACCTTTTACCTAAGTGGAATTTCAGGCTTTGTAGTGATAAAAATTCTGCAGAAAGGACTTTTTTGTATTCTTTCAGTTAGTACAACTGACCGTTAGATCAGCTGAAGCAGAAAAGAAGGTAAAGAGGTGTTGTTTTGTTTTTTTTTGTTTTGTTTTTTGTCTCTAGGCCTTTCCCTTCACCTTCTGTGGGGAAGGGTCAGCCACTTTGGCTCTGATTTCCCCATTTTTGTGCAAGTTATCACTGAATATATACTATATACCAGAAGTATGGGGTTCTGAAATGTAAAGGTAAGTAAGATGTGGTCCTTGCTCTCAAAGAAACCATATCTTGGGAGGCAGAGGGCAGGGGATAAGACACAAATAATTACAAAATAGGATGATTTTAATAATACAGATTTATGTACAGCATATGAAGCACCAAGGAAGAGAAGCCAGTCCCCTGAGGATAGAGGGAGATGCCACTTATAAAAAAATGAGTGGGGGGAGAATTTCAAGGTGGAGGGACGAGTGGGTATACAGAAGGTGTAAATATGCATGACCTATTTGAAGAACTGAAACGTTTGGTTTGGCTGGGGCATAAA